CTAATCTAATAATTGATGCTTTAAATCATACTTTAGGTAGTGTTTACAGAATCCAAGAACCAACTTTAGTCAGTGTATGCAGTGGTGAACTCGTTGTAGATCAAGTTAGAAGACGGATAGATTAAGCCTCAGTTTGATTTTGTTAAAAATCAGATATTTTATAAATTTCGATAAAGTTGATAAAATATGTGATTAAAAAGTTGTAGGTCCCATGAAATGTGTGGTTGAAAATGAGTTTTAAGAAACGGAGGCCAAACATGGGCTAAATTGACTTGGCATGTGGTAGATGCTTTTGATCTCTAAGTATTTCTAGCAACGAAAAGAATAAGAGGGTGAAAGGATTCATGTATCGGACCCCGAGGCTTAGTTTGTCGTTGTATATTCTAATCATTCATTTTTCTAGCAAACTCAGAATCAGTTTTATTTTAACCCAGTTTAAGGTTGATTCTGGTTTATATTCATTCTAGAAATAAAGTAGGTTATACATAGCCAGAAATAAACGTGTTTATGATCTGCTAATTGCAAAATTAGTGTTAAAGTGAATCTTTGCCATGTTCCAATTTTTTAGTCATAATCTGTTGTTGCCACAGTTAAGATTTCGAAGGACTAACATATGATGGTCTTGGGTTTTGATATAGGTATAGAGCGGGAAATCAATGCATTACAATTAGAGGTACTCCCAACCTTTTTGATATGTTTCTATATATGGTTTGTACTAATAAAAATAGAATCTAAAATGGATTATCTTTAATGCAGGAAAAGAAACTTGTTGCTGAGATTAAGAGAACTGCGAAAACCGGGAATGATGTATGTAATTTTTGGATTCTCTTCAGCTCTAGAAGACTTGAGTTTACTGTGACTAATCTTTCATTGTTTCTGCATTTTTCAGGCAGCCACGAAAATTCTTGCACGCCAACTAGTACGGCTTCGACAACAAATAGCCAACTTACAAGGTAGTCGAGCTCAGATGAGAGGCATAGCGACTCACACCCAGGTAAATTGGTAAATCATCAC